TATGTTGAGTAAGGGATAAAGCACTGGTCCTATGATCATACCTTCTTTCATCTAATAGCATAAGGAAGGTCGGTCAAGTATCAGACTGCGGAGAAAGTTTGTTTTTTCAGTGATCAATCATTTGCCCCTTGGAAGGGGAAAAAAAAAAAAGAGAAATGCTATTCATCACTGGGTATGCATCCCGGTCTACGTGGCGTTAACGTGGCATTAAATAATATGTGAAATTAAATATCATTTAACCAATCATTTACATCCACGTTGGGATGCATCCTTGGGCATGAATAGCATTTTTCAAAAAAAAAAAACATAAACCCCCACATAATAATTCCTAGTTGGTTTCAATCCAAGAAGAAGTGGGGATTGGGCTCTTAAACTAAAATAGATTAATAAAGCAGCCTCAAGCCAAGAAACAAAAGACTTATAGATCGATCACGAATTCAAGCTATATTAACAATACTTAAAGAACCAAGATGCAAAGAGAAAGCAATACAGTAAACTAAAAGAAATGAAGAGTCAAGAATACTTACAGTGGGAAAGGTGTTGCTGGTGTATGAAATGAGAAGGCAAGTTTTACCCACAGCCCCATCACCGACCGTAACGCACTTTATGAACCTCGAAGCGCTCATTCTATCCGCCGGCAACCTTATACTTTGCTCCGGCCGGCGAACTATTTCCTTGGATCCTTCGTCTCTAATTAATTGAATTGAGTATTTCCGAGGAGATTGTTTGTTAGCAAAGGTATTTAACTGCAAAAATAAGTCGAATAACAATGAGAAATCTTAGATTATACGGTAACAAAACCCCAATAATAATATTAAAACCCGAAAATTGGGCTATATAATAATCGAATAGCACCTAACCCACAGCTACATCTACATTTATTAACAGCCAATTATTTTCCCACACAAACACACACAGTGAGAGAGAGAAATTTGAACCTTTTAGAAAAGTAATGATTTCAATTTTCAAGCTGCAATAGAGGGATAAATTTTGATTTGTGAGTCAAGTGTATACTGGGGTGAGGGGTGCCAGCTTCAAGCCAGCTATATTGGCTTTAGAGACCACTTTCAGCGCACCCCTTATCTTGTCACCACATTACCAACCACTCTTTCTGTCGTTTTTTTTCTTTTTAGGAAAATGTTAGGGTTGTTTGGGAGTTTTGGATACTTGTTATAGACATTGTTTAAGATATTAATTTTGAACGTTTATAAATGCACCGATTTAAGTGATTTTAGTATCAATTTTTAAAGAAGTCCAACTCATATTTGAGAGTTTATTATTCAATGATTCTATAATTTTTTAAAAAGAATAAAATTACATATATATCTCATAATGAAAGTTTAAGTTCATATCGTATTCGGCTCAATCCTTTTAGTAAAAAATTGGACTAAGTTTTCAATTAAGAGATTTTATTATATGAAATATTTTTACTCATAAGTTTAAATTAAATATTTACTTAAATTTAAGTTAATATTTTTTACTTATAAGTGAACATTAAGATTATAATTTAATTTTGTACTTTAAAGTAATTTTTTACACATTAGTGAATTTTTTATTTATAAGTAACTTTTTATATTTTATAAGGAAATTTGTACCTTATCAGTAGTATTTTTACTTTATAAACAAAATTTCATACAAAAGTCATATTTTATATTATAAGTAATATTATACTTATAAATATTTTTTTAATTGTAATATAATTTTTTTACTTATGAATGATTTTTTATTTAATATATTTTTATTTTCATGTGAGTTTTAAACAAAATCTTTTGGATGAAAATAATTATTTTATAAAGAGTAAAACTAGAAAAAAAATATGGGGTTAATTTCACAAATGGTCACTGAAATTACACCAAAAAAACAAAATGGTCATTGAAGTTCCAAACTTGCATAAACGGNAAAAACAAAATGGTCATTGAAGTTCCAAACTTGCATAAACGGTCACTCAACTTTCAGTCACTTTCAAAAATGGTCATTGAGCAAAATTAAAGGACTTCTTTGTTCTAATTGAAACCTAAATTAACAAACTGAGGCCCCTTCAAAGTTGGAGGGGCTGATTTGCAATTTCCTTGGAAAAAAACACAACTAAACCCTATCCCTTTTCCCTTTAATTTCGAAGTGAAACTAGGCGTTTTCACTACCCAGACACTCCACGCTTCCAACCGGCGAGAAGAAAATCCAGAAACACCGGCCGAAGGTCAGCTTTCACACTCCCAAGCCGTAGGTAAGCTTCCAATCAACCTTAATCATTAATTTATTCTTCAAAAACCGCACGGGAGAGTGACCATGGTTTCAAATTTTTCAGCGAAAATCGAAGTGTGGGGACCACAATCTTCTAAAATATATTCGACATGTCAGATGTGGAGGAACAAGATAAAGGTTAGTGTTTTGGTTTTAACCTTTTTTTGTCTGTATTGTTCGGGTAAAGGCATTTTGGACAGATTTTGAGTCCACTTTAATTGGCTCTTTTTGTATTGAAATGGAATAAAGTCTCCATTAATATGCTTGTCAGTTCACACGTCTCAGCTCCTTAGAGCTGAATTGGGTCTTCTTTTTTTTGCATTGAAACGTTGAGAAACGGACTGTGTAATGTGCTGTGGGAGAAAAATTCGATGATCTTAGCTTGTGCCTTGAGAATAAACAGCTACCTATATGTGTTTTTAATTTATAACATGTTTGGAGTTGTATATAAACGGTTCAAATTATAAATACTTAAAAATGAGCGGAAGATAAGTGAGGACTACTTGTGGATTTCATGTAACGTGAGGATAAAAAGTGATTTGACTCATTATAAACAAATTACAAACGGTAGCCAGACATGGGCTTAATTGATTGCTCATTTAGTAAGTATGAAAGTTAAAGACAGATTATATGTTCTTCCTTCAACTCTTCTATGATAGGTGAAACATTTTATCCATTTGTTCATGTAAATGTAGAAATGGTGGTATGTGTATGCATGATGAGGCGACAACACATTACATTGACATGATAGATGAGACAACTTTGGGCCACCGATTTATTAAAAAGGAGTTCAAATGTCACTCCAAGAATCGGTTGGCAAATCGACCCCTTTGGACATTCCGCTGTTCAGGCTTACCTTCTGGGGGCAGAGGTAAAGTCATGACTCTTTCCACTTTAATTAGTGTCCGGCCATCATTTTCTTATTCAAAGTTTAAGCATCGTCACATATTCTGCAAAATAATCTATATTTTTTTTATATTTATGATAGAGTGATGTTTAAAATTTACACTTTGGACAGCGATTTGCCTATTCACAACCCACTACTGTCGCTGGAATTGAACAAGGTATAGCGTGTCATTTTCTTTCCCAGCTTAAGCCAAGGCCAGGAGGCAGTGGAAGTTCAAAATCGACACCAACTCTTTACGAAGTATGGAACAACTTGATGACGAAATGACGTCGGTTGAAGTCTATTATATATTTTTTGTCAACAATTCTAATTTTTTTGTCCCCGGGTACAGAAAGCAGATCACAGTATTTGGCCAGAAATCGCACGTTCTGGGCAAATTATGTACTGTGTATTTCTCTACACTGTTCTTTTTGGTGAAAAAGGTCATTTTGAGTCGTTCTACGTTATGAAGCTGTAATTTACATTGTTATAACGAATGTTGAAGTTTGGTGAAATGTGGATTATTGTGAGTTGTTGTATGCTATGATATGTGGAATATTGTGAGTTGTTGTATGCTATGAAGTTGTAATGTAAATTACTATGGTGAAATTGTTGTATATTTTGGTGAAATTGGTGTTTTATAATACTGGAATATGAATTCTAATTTTTTGTAGAATAAATTTTAAGGAGAAATTGCTAAATTCTATGGAGAAATAAGCAAAACAAGTTATTTATTATGAAAGGAAAAAAAAATAACCAAAACAGGAAAAGACGTCAATTAGGTGTTTTTTTCAGAGGAAATTGCAAATCAGCCCCTCCAATTTTGATGGGGCTCAGTTTGTTAATTTAGGTTTCAATTAGAACAAAGAAGTCCCTTAATTTTGCTTAATGACTATTTTTGAAAGTGACTGAAAGTTAAGTGACCGTTTATGCAAGTTTGGAATTTCAATGACCATTTTGTTATTTTGGTATAACTTCAGTGACCATTTGTGAAATTAACCCAAAAAATATGAGAAAATCCAAAAATCGCATATTTGGTGGATTAAGAGAATAATCAAAATTGCAATATAACGATTTTGGATAGTTTAAAGTCCAATAAACTAACAAGCACTGATTTTTTCAATTCCTCATCAACGGTGCCATCTAAAATCGGGTAAAAAAAAACTCTCAACTATGTCGTTAGTTTACATTTATGTCCCGGGCAAATTGATCTCCAATCTTTCAGTGATTGCCCTATTAATTCAAGTCTCTATTGACGTTATGTGATTCTCGTATATCTAGTTTTACAAAATTAGATAATACTACCCAATTTAGAGCCGAGCTTCAGAAATAAGAAATATTTCTATTCTAAACCAATTGCAACTAAGCAATTCATTATACTCTATTCAATTGTGACGGGTGGCCTTTCTACAAAGAACCTATCGCAAGAAAGAAAGTAGGAATATTAGTTTAGTCCATCCCTGTGTGGAGCACAAGCAAGGTTAATAACAAGATAGATGAATTCATAAGGCGGCGATACAAATAACCTATTTCAAAGCCCCCATGCAAGTCAAATTCTTAGTCATTCGCTCCAAATAACCTATTTTTGGAATAGGTTAAGTTTGCTTTAGTGCTTTCTCCATCGTGGAGAAAACACTAAAGCAAACATAACTAGGGAAAAATACATCATCTGAGACTAATAGGTTGGGATACATCCTCTCTAACACCTAGAGATGTTAATCAAGTTCAAGTAATGCTTGAACCTATCCATTGTGATTAACTTTGTCAACATGTCTGATGCACTCTGAGATATGTACCTTCTCTAGCAACTATTTTCCTGAAATAGCCAACTCCCTTATCTTGTGAATTCTCACATCAATGTGCTTGGTTGTTGCATTATAAATCTGATTCTTTGCTAAAAAGATGACGCTCTGACTATCATAACACATTTTTATTCCATCTTGCTTGATCTCAAGCTCTTTGACAAGCCCTCTCAGCCACAATGATTCCTTGATTGCCTCAGTTGCTACCATGTACTCTATTTCAGTTGTAGATAATACCACAAGTGACTGCACCATAGATCTCCAACATATAGGCCCACTTGCAAGTGAGAAAACATAACATGTATGGGACCTTTTATCATCTAAGTCGCCTGCATAATCTGCATCTACATATCCCTGGACTGAAATATCATCATGTTGTCTCTTAAACATGATCCCACACTCAACTGTACATTTCAAGTACCTGAAAATTCACTTTACAACTCTCCAATGCTCTCCGCCAAAATTAGCCATGCTCACCAGATTGATTGCATATGCTGAGTCTGGTCTTATATACACCATTGTATACATCAAACATCACACTACACTGGCATAATCACCTCTGACATCTCGCAATTACTTCTTCTTTTTAGGGCACTGATTTCTAGACAATTTGAAGTGATTTGCCAATGGCGTACCCACTGGTTTTGCATCAGACATTCTAAACCTCTCCAACACTCTCTTCAAATAATTTTTCTGA